AAGCTTCAGTTCAAATTGTCTCACCTAGATGGCGTCATTTTGTTCAAAATTGTGTGGTTGGCACCAATTTTGTTTGGCCAATTTTGTGTCAAAAGAAAAAGCTGTTGCACTCATAATCTGCAAACCAAATTATCCATGCAAATAATTGAGAGTATACTGTAGTCCAAAGACTAGTTAGTACAAATAATTCATCAATTTTTCAAATACATATTTTGATATTATATGGAACCCTTATTTCTGGAAGTACAGCTAAGCATTTTTGTTTATGATCATATTTTATCATGCTACGGTCAAATGAATGTAAAAACCTAAATTGAAGGCATTTACAATGTCAAAATTTGTCAAACAGTATAATAAGCAAATAGAAGCAGCACCATAAAGTAACATTGGTATGACATTACACAGTGACTGACATTTCAAAACTATATATATGATACATATTTTTTTTTTGTGTTACAGTTAGTTTCAGTATCACATGCTTTAAAGCTGTTTCTTCTGTTGTCTACTTTATTTTAATTTTTTCCTTGTTATTTACTTATGTTTTGGGCTTGATACACACAGATGCAATAGAAATGTCTCTATACAAAACATTGTTCAATACAGAGTAAATATGCTTAAAATTGCTTTTTCAATGCTTTACATAGGTTCCATTGATCAAACAAAATGCAAAAACATTGTCTAATGACATTTTTCACAAATTACAATCCTTTATCATCATCACAAAATTATACAATAAATAAGTGACAGCTTCCTAATAATTTTTGCTTGATCAGTGTGGGTTAAAATGTTTTAGTATCTAACAAATTTTCTGTATAAAGACATTTTTACCTGAGGGAAGTAATCTCTTGTCAGACATAATTACACAAGTTTAAGTATGCTTAAATTTGTCAGATGTGCAACCAGGAATCCTCAATCACGCAGGCAAAACATTTTCTCGTATGCATGCATTTTTAGTCATTTTCCACATTTAGCTCACATTTACATTTATAGTTAATATGGAGATATAATAATATGAACACACCTGAATTCTATTTGCCGAGTTTTTTCTCTTTATTCAAACGTTTTCAGCCTATTTGGATAGGCTGAAAACGTTTGAATAAAGAGAAAAAACTCGGCAAATAGAATTCAGGTGTGTTCATATTATTATATCTCCATATTAACTATAAATGTAAATGTGAGCTAAATGTGGAAAATGACTAAAAATGCATGCATACGAGAAAATGTTTTGCCTGCGTGATTGAGGATTCCTGGTTGCACATCTGACAAATTTAAGCATACTTAAACTTGTGTAATTATGTCTGACAAGAGATTACTTCCCTCAGGTAAAAATGTCTTTATACAGAAAATTTGTTAATACTAAAACATTTTAACCCACACTGATCAAGCAAAAATTATTAGGAAGCTGTCACTTATTTATTGTATAATTTTGTGATGATGATAAAGGATTGTAATTTGTGAAAAATGTCATTAGACAATGTTTTTGCATTTTGTTTGATCAATGGAACCTATGTAAAGCATTGAAAAAGCAATTTTAAGCATATTTACTCTGTATTGAACAATGTTTTGTATAGAGACATTTCTATTGCATCTGTGTGTATCAAGCCCAAAACATAAGTAAATAACAAGGAAAAAATTAAAATAAAGTAGACAACAGAAGAAACAGCTTTAAAGCATGTGATACTGAAACTAACTGTAACACAAAAAAAAAATATGTATCATATATATAGTTTTGAAATGTCAGTCACTGTGTAATGTCATACCAATGTTACTTTATGGTGCTGCTTCTATTTGCTTATTATACTGTTTGACAAATTTTGACATTGTAAATGCCTTCAATTTAGGTTTTTACATTCATTTGACCGTAGCATGATAAAATATGATCATAAACAAAAATGCTTAGCTGTACTTCCAGAAATAAGGGTTCCATATAATATCAAAATATGTATTTGAAAAATTGATGAATTATTTGTACTAACTAGTCTTTGGACTACAGTATACTCTCAATTATTTGCATGGATAATTTGGTTTGCAGATTATGAGTGCAACAGCTTTTTCTTTTGACACAAAATTGGCCAAACAAAATTGGTGCCAACCACACAATTTTGAACAAAATGACGCCATCTAGGTGAGACAATTTGAACTGAAGCTTCTAGAAATTTCTCACATCCAGCAATGACATTTGTCATGAATATAAGTGGAATGACACAAATCGTGATTCAATGAATCAGCTCACCAAAGAATATTCAATGTACCTGCTGATACAAAATCAGTGCATGGTAAGGATTTGAAGACTAAAAATCACTGAGGACAGCATCCAGACTTTATTTCCTAAGAAATATATGTTGGATTATGTCTGTTTTTGATTTTTCTTGCATGTTCTTCATTATTGGCCCACATAATTGAGAGTATAATGTACTGTATGTTCTAAAATTAGTTAGTGCAAAAATTCATCAAATTTTGAAGTGAATCACATAAATGATGTGAAATCATCATTATTAGTAAAACTCAGCCATAAAATATCAATTTAAAAGTAAATTGTAAAAAATGAAAAATAAAAACAATAAATTACACTACTTTTTTTACATAACTTAAATTATGTCACTGAACAAAGTAACAAAGATTAACTAACATTTGAGAAATACATTACATAAGTATTAGGTTCTGTGTTTTTGCTTGGCTTATTTTTTTTAGGTATCTTCTGGAGCCTCCCTGGTTACTCTTCATCAGTAGTCTGCTAACACATTAGGACTTCACTTTCTTTCATACTACTACTATATAGCTGCAGTGTCTTGATAAAATTGCTCACATTGCTCCACAATTCTTGGAGAAGTCAACTTGGGCATGCAGGAAGTGGATTTTGAGAGATACATTACAACCAAGTTTTTGATAGCATAACTGCAGCTCATCTACAATCTCTTTGAAATTTTGTGCTCTGTTGTTTTCAAAGAACTGCAAAAAACACCCAAAAAACTTTATTGTGCAACTTTCTTGCTACCCTCTAGGATTTCATCAAACTGGTGGTGGTTTCTGATAAGCTCCCAAATATGTGGACCTACAGTACTGTACCTATTTGGCATCATTTGAGGGAATTTTCTACTTAAGTACTTGTAGGCCTTACTTTCTTGGTTCATACGCTCCACAAAGCTTTTTGTAAGTTCCAATTTGATATATAACAATGAAAGCAAAATCTTTTTACAATTAACCAGTGGTTTGTTTTTTATGATCTTCATATCCGGCTGAGAGGATTTTCTGGTAGGTTGGTTTGTTTTGATATAGTGAGTTGCACACACCTTACTATCTCATTTCACAAATAAAACAAAAATATTTTGTATATGCTAATTACAAGCCTAATAAGAGTATTGTTACCTTTAAGTTACCACAAATCTTAGTAATACTGGCTTTCTCAAGAATTCTCATACTTGGTAACTTTGACACGATTGATGTGATTCTAGGCTTTACTAGACAAGAACCAAGCCTTCTGATGGAAAGGTTAACTTTTGTGGGATTTTGAAATGTTCAGATTTCAAATACAATAGAAAATGCTCACACAAAATGTTTTATCTTAAGAATATTGAAAAACATTTTAAATACAAGTCAAATGCAAAAGAGTTTGTACCCTCACACATACTGCTAATACACACTAGTGGTGCCTTGTACTATACTTCAAATTTAATTCCTTCCAGGAGATGTTTGAACTCAATCGTTCAAAGTCTGAATTAATTTTTCTCATTAGAAATAATGGAAGCATTTCTATTAAGCTTGTAAATCACTCTGAAAATAGGACATTTTAATTTTGGAGATTGGCTAATTTTCTTTTAGAAAGAGGGTGTACTTACTGGAATTACATCATACATACATACATTATGTATTTGATATATGCACATGCATCTATATAAGCATGCCTGCTCCACATATATATATATTTAAATGCTTAAAAAGCAATTTTAAAATGTTTCAAAATACTTAACCAGAAAATTTTTTTCATAATAAATTCTCTTAATTATAATAAATAATTGATAATTATTCCACTCTTCTCATTTCTATTTTATGATTGTAAAATTCTTTATGAAATTACGAATTTTAGTTGTGTTAGGAAATACTAGTAGTATTAAATTGTAGTGCTACAGCACTAATATGATTGTAGTTTTTATTGTGCATGTTTAGTTTGTTCTATATCGGGTCATATATTGTACTAAATTCATGTTTTTCCGTTTTGTATCGGGACATCAGATTTTAATGAGGTACATAGTGTATACCTGCTGATTGGGTGAGGGTTGGACCACTTGTAAGTGACATACTCCCTAATGGTGGGAGATATAAATCCAGATGTGTTCACCATGGAGAGATCTTTTTTTGTTTGGAGTCTCTTGCTTGTTACACACATGCTATGAGTGAGAGTGAAATTCAGTTACCAGTGAAAGCAATTTGGACGCTAGGAAGTCGGACTAAGTAAAAAGGACAATCCAAGTTCATCCACAAAAGTTTTGCAATCATCGATAAGGAATTAATGCCAATTGCCAAGGGAACTGTTAAGGACAAGTGTAAGACCTTTATTTTTATTGAACATCATAATATAATTGCAGTGTTCTCTCCACACTTGGAACGATTATTGTAATTGTACGGGGGATATGAAAGAGGGGGTAGTACGACCACTAAGACAATTGTATATGTTACCTTTGTTTGTTTTGATGTATGTACACGTTTGATTTTTTGTATTTATACCGTAAAGGAACCCAATGAGTCTCATGTTTTAAGACCTACTAGGGTGTAATTACACAGAATAAATTTTGTTTCCTCATACATTGAGGTTTGTGTAAAGTTCTTGTTGTCTTTGTCATACGGTTATCCTGCACTCAAACCTGGTATACCACAGTATACTAGGAATTTACAAAATAAATGGCAGTTTATTTCAATTTGTAGCAAAATTTCTATGGAAATTTAAACAATAGATTATAAAATTTAGTAAATATTAGTTTGTAAAACAAAATTATTTTTAACAGATGATATTTCTGTCGTCGTTGGACAACTAGAACGAGAACTACTTTCAGCCTCTTCGCCCAAAGTGATATGCTCTCTTGTAAAACGGTTGCAGTCGATTAGTTCTAAACCACTTTCCAAGCTTTATCATAAGGTAATATGAATAAAATTAATTTAGTTTTATAATTTTTATTGATTTTAAAAGTTGTTTTGTCCAGTGGGAACTCCCTCGACATATTGCTTCTCTAGTAAGAAACGTTCAGTCATCAGAAGTCATTTATATTTTATTGGCTAAAGCTAAAGAACTCAGAACAGTCAAAGTAAGTTAATTGTTTAACTTTTTTTGTTAATAATTAAATGCTTTAGAGTAATAGTTTTTTCTTAGAACTACACTCGAGCTCGAGAACTATATAGAATGATTCAGGACGAATTGAGAAGCGGAGCATCACGTTTGAATTGGCTAATAGGTTGGGAACTTCTTCACACTGATCTTTTAGAAGCCATTGAAACACCCATTTATAAATTTCAAGATCCCAAACAATGTCAAGAAATTATTCAGAAGGCAAAATCCTGCATAAAATCATATTATCAAGAAAGAGGTAAACTAAACCAGATAATTTTAAATAATGAAATTTTTCAATGATATAAATTGGATGGTATTCTTCCTCAACAGAAACTCCTCCGGATGTTTTTCTGGTTGATTTATCTGCCATTGTTTTATTAAACCTCAGAGATTGGGATACATTGAATGAAATAGAAGGAAGACAAGATGGATATGTTGGAGTTAGTTGTATTAAAATTCATCTGAATTTCATATTATAAATCCAAATGTAAGCATTGCTATTTTATTTTTTTACAGTTGTCTTGTCTTCTATCTTCTGTCTGTCGAGATATCTGCGCCAATAAAGGAAGTAGAACCTCTGCCAGAGACTTATGGGATGCTGGTATTGGAGACTTATAATAAGTTTTAAGATTTTAAGTTTTTAAATATTTTGAGAGAAAATTTTGATTGTATTTGTTTTAGTGTTGCCAATATTTTCAAATATAAATATTCAGCACAAAAGAAGTAATTCTGGCATAATAAAAGAAATGCAGAGAGAAGCAATGCACAGTATTGTATCCAGGTATTTAACCATAGCTTTATAAAATAAAAAAAATTGAGAATATTTCCTAGTTTAATAGTTCTTCGAAAGAAATTTATTTAAATTTAAAGTAATAAATGGAATAACACAGTACAAAAAAAACCATAAACTAACTAGAAAAGTGTTTTTAGTATTTTTTAATATCTTTGGAATTAATGATGTATGCAAGTTATTTAAATATAATTCGATGAATATTTTCAGAGTAACCTAATTTAAATGCCAATGTAACTTTACATTAATATCCAAGATGTGTTTTGTGTTATACCAGATCATTGTTAAAGTAATTTATGTAAAAATAATTATCAAAGAAGTATTTCCAAACAAATTGTTATAGCTAGCTTTAAAAATAAAGTTTGTAAATTTCTACTTAATGAAAAGTTTCTGGAAAAGTTAGAAAAAGAAGGAGACTCCTTTTTTCAGAAAGAAAAGTTTCTTTATTCATTTTTATCTTAATGCAAAAACATTGTTTTACATTTAAAAATACACATGTTAAATTACTTTTTAATTTTTAAATCTGAAGACAAAAACAATTTTTTACTGCAATGAAAATGTTGAACTATGTCTTAGAATGGCATCCAAACCAGGTTAAGGCTTGGGGATTTCTGCAATTGCAATGCTATTAATTACTTACGAAAAATCCTGAAAAAGAGAGAAAAGCAATCGACATTAGACAGATTCTTTAACCCTTTCAAACAGAAAAAAACACGACTAATAAAAATGCAAGACTGTGTATGTATGTATTTTTATTATCATCAATACATATAAATAAAGGTAGTAAGAAAGTATATATTTTTTTATTTTGGGGGTCTCCAGAACCAATTAATCAAATTCCCATAGAAACCTATGGTAAATCGATAATCGGTTAACGAACAATTCGGATAGCAAACAAAGTCTTGGAATGGATTATGTTCGTTAACCGATCACCCACTGTATTTAAATATGTCTGGAAGAGGAGATTGAAATGGAGGCTTGAGTGAAGTAACTGGCAATGCATCCACGCAGTAAGTGGGAATTGCAGGTTTGAGTCCCACGCCAGGCAATTCTTTTCTTCCAGAATATTCTAAATTATTTAATAAATATTAATTTAATTATTAAATTTAATAAGAGATGGTGCTAATGCCTTCTTCTAATGACAAATTTAGTAATTAATTAAATATAATCATGAAAAAGTAGCCCAATGTAATCTGGTGGTTGTTTGACTTTACAAATTTATTGGGTTTCATCATATTTATGTATATAAGCAAGATAACTATTTAGTAGTATTAAATATAAATCTGGAATAGTAATTGAATTGTAAATGAAACACATTTCTAACAAGCAATTATTTATTGTGACAGTCACAATGCTGGGCTTCAATTTTAAGTTTATTTAACTTAAAATATGTGTCTCCACCTCAAATTAGTAGTGGCTTATCCCTGTACATCATACTTATCATACTTTTACTTTAACAATAGAGTTATGCTGGTTATCTATCTAACACCTATTGAGAGAAAATTTTTGAATTTAAATAACATGACTTCAGGTTTTCATCAGAAGTTTGCATATAGTTAATCAGGGCTTCCTGTCCCTAAGGTTTACATATATGGTCTTGTCTTTCGTCTATCTAACTCCATTCTTGAGATTAAGGAAAGACGGATGGATGAAAATAAGAATTTATAGGTCTACAATTTTTCAAATTGCAGTCCAACAACAATGGTAATGCAGAATGACAATTGGTAATCCACTCACTGGTTTTGTGATTGCAGCAGGTACCATTTCTTTCTTTCTTTCTTTCTTTTTTTTTTTTTTTAAGATTGTAAAAATGAGCAGTGGTGGATAAATGTGGAAAGGAAGAATTGGTCTGTATGCTAGTTGCAGAGTGGTGCTGAATTCAGATGAACCCATTATTTACCACAAAAATTATTTTTGTTTCTTTTTTATAAATACAATAGATTGAATTTGATATTCTTCTAATAGATTACGTTTGTAATATTTGAACACAAATTTGATTGAAGATCATTTGAATATCTTGAATATTAGGTTTAAGTTCAAAAATATTTGTTGCTGTCTTTGCTCTATCCACCCTCCATGCTCTTTTTACTCAATTCTCCAAAGGGTCGAGTGAAGGAAGTAAATTGAAAGAATGAGGGATTTTTGGCATTCTTTTGCACAGGTTGAGTGAAAAGAGGAGTGAGTGTTGAGTTGAGCAAAAAGAGTAGGGGTGGCCCAGCTCACCCCTTCCTTTTTTTTTTTTTTTTTTTAAGATCCCATTGAAATTCAATGGGCACATATGCTAGTTAATTATTATAAAGGCTTCATTTTGAAGGTGAGATGAAATTTTAAAAAATTTACAAATGCCTGTAAGAAGTAAATTTTATGTTCAACTTCACTTGAGATGCAATGTGACCACCCTCTATTTCCCCACTGCACTGATCATTAATTATTAAACTTTAATAGCATCAATGCCCCATATATAGAAATACCATGCTAAGTTTCGAAATGTTCAATTTTTCCAGTGTTGAGATAAAATGAGAAATATATGCCCACCCACATGCATTTTGAGCTTCTGGGCAGTCAAAATTTGACCAATCACCATAATTTCCCAATGTTGCACTCATTGCCATAAAAATTAGTGCACCAAGAAGTTGTCATATCACTGTGAAACTTGGTATGCAGATAAGTCATAAGCAGATATGGAAATGGTTACGATTGCTCATTGCATAATGCCAGCAGAGGCATTAAGCTGTCTGCTTGACCTAAAAAAATGTGCACAAAGGCATCCTGTCTGTAGTTTACCTTTTGCAGAGGGATGTTGCATCACTAGAGATGCCTTTGTGTCAATCGAAGACCAAATAAACAAGTAACTGAGTTTGAGGGGGAAGGATCATCAGGTTGAAAGATGGATGGTCATTTTGCTGAATAGCCTGCCACCTAGGCCATTCTGACAACACTGTGACGAGATGTTGGGACCAGTGGACAGGAGAGGGGCTTGCATACATGGTGCCCAAGGTCAGGATGTCTTCGGCAGACCACTTGCTGAGAGGACCACCTGGTCCTTTGACAAGCATGCACATGGCCAACTGTATCATTGTCCACCATCAGACACAGGTAGTGCCATCATTATAGGCCACTGTGTTTGTCCTTACCATTTTGAGATGTCTGGGTATCATTGACACCACCAACCATTGTCTCAGTTTGGAGTGGTGTCACTCCCAACACGATTGGACCACAATGGAATGGAACTGGGTTGTCTACAGCAATAAATCCAGATTCAGTTTGTGCATGATGATCATGTTTGTGTCTGGAGGCTCTAGTCAACGCCTCAATCCTACCTATGCTTTGGAGCAATAAACCACCCCCACAGCCAACATGATGGTCTGGGATGCCATCACATATGACAGCCAGTCACCTCTACTAGTGATCCAAGGGACCATGACATCCTACATGCACACATTTTGCCCCTCGTGGCAGGGCTCCCAAGAGCCATTTTTGTACAGGACGATGCTCAACCAAACACAGCAAAGGTGTCACAGGCCTGCTTTGCCACATTGACACACTTCTCTGGCCTGCCTAGTCCCCCAATCCATCACTGATTGCACATGTCTATGATGCCAAGTTTGGCCAAACTAGAAAACTGCTTCAACTGTGGATTGAGATGATGCAGGACATGATATGGCACATGTATGCCTCCATGTCCATCCATATCACATCATGTATTCATGCTAGAGGTGGTCCAACAAGGTACTAGAATCTCCTTTCATTTGTAGTTTTTCCTGCAATAAATGATCCTTTTGCTTTCATTTTGTAATCCTTTACATATACTCACACATGTCAGAATTGAACAAAATTGTACTGTACAACTCTTTCTTTGTGCAGTAATTTTTATGGCAATGAGTGTATATTTTGTACTGCCATAAAAATGCAGAAGGAATTAACTCCAAAAAGTAAAATTTGAATTAGAGCAGTTTTTGTAATTGATATTAAAAAAATTAAAGTTTCATAAAATAAAATACTTTCTTGAAGTAACAGCTGCTTATCATTAGAATAGCATAATTTCTTATATTTTATGTGCAGGTAAGTATTTATTACATTTTTTAGGTGGTGAATATGTTTTAAGTTAGGACATTCATCTAATCTGCTAAAAGCAGGAGGAATTAAATCCTGTGTTTTGGAGTCAATGCCTTTTGCCCTAATTCTCATTAGTCTCTTTTTTTTAAATTTCTAGACAACGTTCATGGAAATTATACAGTTTTAATTAGATAGATAGGGTTGTTAACTTTGCCAGCAATGCAGTTAGTGCTTTCAACAACTGCTCAGTCTTGAGTCAAGCTGTTTGGAGCACAGATTAGGGTAGGTGGTTACTCCCTCCTTTCACCGTGTCACAACTCTGTCATCAGTTAGATCTTTCACTCATAATTGTTCATATCCATATTATTTTAAAAATTAAATCATAAAAAAAAATAATAAAACCAGGTGAAACTTTATTTAGTCTTTTATTTTACTGTTTTACATCTTACATGAGTTAACTTATGAAAACAGTGTTGCTCTGCCTTCATTGATTTGAGAAGATCTGGCTGTGTTCAGATTTCAAGAAATATTGCCAGAATAGTTGATTGGAAGGCAACCTGTCAATAAGCTGAGTTGTAAGATTGTTTGTTTTTTCCTTTGAAATGCCCCTTTCTGTAGTATTGTTTGTAACTGTTTGGGAAGCTTGTTAATGATAGCTGTTTTCTTTGGAAAGTTGCGACACTATTCCTGGCTGGTCATTTGCAGTTTGTATTCCATCTCCCTGCTGACACTTTCATGAATCTAACTTCACACAGGGTGTCTCATGGCACATAACTTTCAGTTGCAGCTGCTGCATTTTCAAAATTTATCTTTGGTTCCACCCATGTTGATGGCACATTTTCATTTTCCTTATCTTTAGCCTCATCAATAATCATATTAAATTTTAAATATATTTTGTCATTTGAAAGATAACATTTAGGCATTTTTGAATTTCAGAACTAAAATGACTATACTAAAAACAACATTTGATATTTTGATTTTATATATACATCATTTTCAAAAGGTTGTTGGCAAAGGTATTGTACATAGAAGTAAAAATAAGAAGTTCCCCAGGAAATACTTTTTAAGATTTATATAGATAGATATGCAAATGATTAAAAGAACAAATAAAAATATGCAATAGACACTTGTTTATTCAGTAACAAATATGGCCCCCATGGACAGCTATAAAGGCCACTAAAAGGTGAGGCATACTATCAACAAAGCACCTTTCTATTTCACCCAAGCTGATATCTATATTAATGCTTGGTGGAAAATATAAACTTACTTCATACATATATAAATTGTGAGAGTAGCCGGGGTTACGGAGTAGGTAGTACCCTTGTAACACTTAATCGGCACCAGTCGGTAGGACTAGTTCTCTAGGATGCAGATCACTAGATCTGATCTTAAATATTTCATAGGAGAGCGATAACCGCTATGTGATCCGAACTGCGAAGTTCAGATGCTCGTCAGGATTCCTTGACACCAGTTTGTCAATTAAATTCTGCGGACAAACACGCGTGTGAGATCTGTTTCGGAATCAATCTAAGAGACATTTAAGTAAATTTAACAAGTGTAAATTTAATAATCCAAAAACAACGAATACAAATGTCAATGAACGAGGGATAATAAACGACAATTAGATTACACGATATTGGCTTGGACTTATTCTATACTGATGCGCGATCGAGAGAGAGAGCTCACAAAATTCGTTATAAAACATACAACCTGATTCAGTTGACGTTCGTCTTCTTCTCTGTCTGTAAGGGACACCTTGTAGATAGAGTTCATTTACTTCTTCGTATGGGAGATCAATACGTGCACAAATATAAAAGTATCTTTACTAAGTTCAGACTTGGGACTTAGTCTATGAGTCTCGTTTAAGGGCGTTGGTCATCAAGAGGAAAAACGTATGGAGTTTGGACGCTTCCAGAACTGTCGCTGAACTCCCTGAATTCGGACTAAATTCCCTTATATCTCCTGAATTTCGACCAATCATCGGCCAGTAACTCTTTCATGAGAACGGACGAAAGGGGAATCGAAGAGGGGTAACCATTTCCCATCTGAGTGAGATTTTTAACCAGATAAGGGAAAGTCAGAGGATGTTCTCTTCTGTGAAAGGAAGTAGCATCTGTTATCTGGTTTTTTCCCACATCTAAAACACTAGTTTTTCACAAAAATGAAGTAATATTATGTGTCAATATTTTACCATTATTAATAAAATTTATTAAATTAGACCCAGGGCCTTTCGGGTCTCACAAAATCATCACCAACTGCTTGTATTACATGACGTGTAGGGAATGATAGATTATTAATATCCAACACTGTCCACTTCAGTTCCTGTTATTAATAACAGCAGCAGCAGCCCAAGGATGTTCCTGGGCACTAATGTAATGAGCCAGTGGCGTAGTGTGGGTGTCAGCTGCCCGGGGCAAAGGAAAATTTCGCCATCCCCTTATTTAGGTATCTCAATTTAAAAGACTAAAATTCAGTTTTGTCACAGAATAAGTAATGAAAAATTCCATGCAAGTGTTGCCACCTTTTTAAAATTGCTGACTCGGACAGCAGGTGAGGTTTGTTCAAACAGAAGTTCCTGATGCATTTGTATGTCATTTTGCAGTGCGAAGAATAATTTGCAGTGCATGTCGGTTCTAAATTAGTTACAGTTAGTGACTAGGGAGACTTGGGTAGGAGTAACATAAGTAACCTAGATCAGTGGTCCCCAACCCCCGGGCCGCGGACCGGTACCGGTCCGTGGATCAAATGGTACCGGGCCGCCCAAGGAACATTAAATTATTTCCATTTTATTTACTATGGTGTATTTCCTCGGGTTTGTGCGACTTTTAATGGACGACGGAACAACAGAATAAACTGGACGTAAGAAACACACTTCGGGTGTCATTGTCTCCTATTACCCCTAGAGGGAACCGTCTCCTTGCAATGAAACAAGCTCAGGGTTCTCATTGATTTAGCGTTCTAGTGAATTAAAATGTTAAATCACATTATATTCATTTTTTGGTGTAACTGTATTTTATTTTGAAGGCATGTTTAAATACAATTAAATTAAAATTATTAAATTAAGTCAATCTAAAATATAAACGATCAACGTCCCCCCTCAGTGGGCCGCGGTAAAATTATCAAACTTTGACCGGTCCGCGGCGATAAAAAGGTTGGGGACCGCTGACCTAGATGACCTAGCTCTATTGGATAATGGAGGTGTATATGGATACGAATGAATCGTACAAACAAAAAACAAAACAAAAAAAGAAAGGTCGACAGGTTGCGGACGGTGAGTCGATTCCTGCACTGTCAGGATGTCCCATGCTCATTTCAGTCGGTCTGAATCATAGGTGCGACAAAAATATGAAATGAAATGGTTCAAATTTTTACAAGATATTATTATTATTTATTGTGAAATTGTGCCGCCCAGGGCGGGCTGCCCTACTACACTACGCCACTGTAATGAGTGATATGCATCATATTACCAAACCTCTGCTGGGACACACCCTATCTGTCCATATTAATCTGTGCAAATTTAATTATCTTTTTTCAGCCATAATCTATTTTATAGTAGTACCTTTCCAGTGCATGTTTATATATTATCCAATCTTTATCTTTAGGCTAACAGAAACTTCTGGGTAGGATGTTTCTGTTGGCCTAAAGATAAAGTTTAAGATTAACTTCTGCAAGCTGTGCAGCCTCCATTTCTGGCATATTTTTTGACCAGACAGAAACTGGTCTTTAAGGCCAATGCCCGCAGGTTAAAAAACTAAGGCAATGGTTAGTATCCAGGTGGAACTTGTTATTTGCTGCTTTGACTATTAAAACCCCTGATTTTGTTGGAGTTTCCCAAAATCAGATGGTGGCCACCAATGGGATAACATTGACAGAAAGACTTTTTACTTTCATTTGCCACATTGTTTCTGGTGGCTGAAAGGAAATGTTTGTCAAGATCTGTCTTTTTTTTTTTTAATTCTATGTCTGTCTACACTGTAATAAATACATTCAACCTCAACTGTGGGACAGTCTGGCAATTTCATTCAGTTGTCATCAGCACCCTGATTCTAATTTATATGACATCCATAGCAGTCTGTGTTGACTGCAGCGTTAGTTTTACTACCCATTAGTGTTGGCCTGGGCTCAAAGAAGGTTCATAACTGGGCTCGTTTATCTTAATATTTTTTCTTTTTTAAGTAAATTAGGTATAAATTTCTAAATATTACTATTATGAATTTGTCAATTTCTGGATAAATGAACAATATAATTTTTGTATTTTGATAAACAGGTCTCATTTTCTTCATTTTACTGGAAAACTGGTGGTAAGTGTTTTCTAATTCTGTTCTCTGCTTAATATATATATTTTTAAATTTTATTTGTATTTTAAGCATTTTTGTCTGAATGATACAAAACAAATGTTTAACCATCCCAACGCACGGCTTTTGTTTTTCAGGACACTCTGGTCTTAACAGTGGTAATCTCGTGTCTTTCCAAGTTATACAATATACTGAAGGTAAATTGCTGAGCATTTTGTTTTTGGTGTTTACTTTAAGGCGATATTTATTTATTAAAATCTATTTTCCAGGATAATTCTAACGGTGAAATATTTTTAGAGTATTCAGCATTGTGGCCTGCCGTCGTCAGCAAGTGAGTTTTGGGACTCAAAGTCATTTCCTTTCATTTCTATTTATTCATCATTCAACAAAATGAATTTATTTATTTATTTCTGAATTTTAGTTCAAGCACATTTAATGTGCAAGCAGTGGGTGACGCTCTGCATGAAGTACTGGGACATGCACTGACCGTTCATCCCACTCACTCTTCTTGGTTAAAAACCAGAGGCGACTTTATGTATGGTAAGTACTATTACCTGTATTACAACCATCCATAAAGCCTAGTATTTGCATGCAGAAATTACTCCACAGTTGAAACACTTATCATCTGCCAGTAGTAAAAAATGGAGCTGATCAGGATTGCTTTGTTATATTAGTTAAGATCATAAGCAAACTTAGAAAGTTTATCACAAATAAAAAAAACCACAAGTGAAGAATTTGGGTAAGAAAAATATTTCAAAATAGTTTTGAAGTTTGGGTACCAAAATATTTGATATTCCTAATTACAATTACATGATCCTGAATACTTTATGCAGTAGGTACAGATATGCTCCTCAAAAGTGAAACCACACCATGAAGGAATGCATAGCTGCCTCCAAATTGCAGGATTGGTAGAGATGACAGATATGCAAATAATTAAATTTGCATATGTATTGGGTCACTTGGTACCCAGTTTCAGGCTATAAAGACCAGCCAGCTTGGGCCATAAATACTATTGGCAAAGGTTTACAGCAGCTGAAGTTTTGAATAAGCATAGAAAATGCCTCAGAGAACACAGAGAGCTGAATACCACTGTTGAATGAATGGGGAATGAGATTGTATCCTAGAGCTGTGCAACCATGGTTTGTTGATGTGCACAGTTGCCATTTACATTGGGCACAACCTGAATACCATCCAGTGATGTGTGACATGTTTCATCAGTGGACAGACCTGGTGCACGTTTACAGTACTCTAGCAGTGGACCAGTATGAAACACAAATTGTGGGGCCTGTGGTTCAGCCACTAGTGCAGTCCACACCTGACACAATGTTCCAGCAAGACAATGCCCAACTACACAGTGAACGCTCACCAGCCTGAACATAATTTGCATCCTTCCCTGGCCAGCAGTTTCATCAAAGCTCTCATTCATTGAAAACCTAAGGGTCCTAATCTGACATGAGATGCACCAGAGAGCACCACCACATATTGTAGACAACATATGCACTGTAATAGTGTAATAACACACCTTGATAAGGGATACTTCAGGAAACCATTAATTGCTTCATTGAGAGTATAACTTCAACACACCTTACTACTGAGAAAGCACATTTATCAAGCTAAACAAGATGCAACCATTTTACCGTCGGCATGGAAATATATAATCAGAAAGAACTCGTAAGAAGATACATCCACCAGGCTCAATAAACCCTGAGTTATTATAAAAAATGTTTACATATTGTATTAAGGGGAATTACCGTATTTTGTATTTTATTTTATTTTATTTTTCTTGTTTATTGTATTAATTTCGTTATGCTTGTTTACGTAATCTTATTTCAACGTATGTTCTAATATAATTTAAATTTGAACATGTTCGAAAAGCCATTCATTCGAACGTCGTTAACCTGAGGATGGCCCATGAAATGGGTTGAAAACTTTTGTTTAGCTTGATAAATGTGCTTTCTCAGTAGTAAGGTGTGTTGACTTTATAATGTTAAAGAATCTGAAATGTGAATAGGAGAGAGTATAACTGCCATATTCATTACTGAATAAACAGATGTCTGTTGCATATCTGTTCTTTTAATCATTTGTATGTGTATCATTGCAGGACCAGTAGTGTATCACCACTACTGGTCCTGCAATGTGTATGTGGTTATGTGCATTCCTTCATGGTGGTGTGATTTCACTTTAACATTTAAGTTCAATAGTAATATGAAATACACTCATTGCCGTAAAAATTAGCACACCAAAGCATTGTCAGAATCAAATGAAATTGTACACATTTGAGTGTAACAGTGATACAAGTAAGCGATTACAAAATGAAAGCAAAAGGATCATTTATAGCAGGAAAAACTACAAATGAAAGGAGGTTCTAGTACCCAGTTAGGCCATCTCTAGTGTGACTACACGATGTAATATGGGCATCTTGAGGCATACAGGTGCTGTATGATATCCTGTGGCATATTAGTTCACAGTTGCTGCAAGTGATCCTCTAGTTTGGCCAAACTTCTAGGCTGTCCAACTTGGCATCCCAGGTGATCTCAGACATATTCAATCGGTGACAGATTAGGAGAATAGGCAGGCCAGGGAAGTGCGACGATGTGGTGGAGGCATTCATGTGACACACTATGTGTGATCGAGCATTGTCCTATTGGAGAATAGCTCTTGGGAACCCTGCCATGAGAGGCAACACATATGGCTGCAGGATGTCACTAACATACCACTGGGCTGTCATGGTTCTTTGGAACACTACTAGTATGTATGTAATGGCAGGCCAGACCATCACACCAGCTGTAGAGAGGTGTGCTATTCCACAGCTTAGGTAGAATTGAGGTGTTCACTATGGATCCTCTACATGAACACGGCTGTTGTCAGTGCTGAAACGAAAACTGGATTTGTCACTGTAGATGACCCAGTTTCAGTCCATTCATTTTTTTTATTTCATTAGTTTTATTAACATAGCAAAGTACATAACCTAATGCTGCATTGCACAATCAGGCATAGAAAAAACTGTACAAAAGAGAACATGATGGTACATAAAATAAGATTACAAGAAAATCAAATTATACCAGTTTGTGTGATTTTAATAAAAGTGAGCTTTCATAAACCAAATGCAGAGCACACAAACATAACAAAAGAAAGTATTTACAAAGGTAAAATGTCGATTTACAACAGAAGTCATGACATTCAGCAAAGGAGTTACTTTGTGTTTAACAAATAAGTATAATGTTAAAGTATTTCTTCACAAGCCTCTGAAACAACAAAAAGGTCTCCTGATTACTAACTAGCTCTCAGCACTTGCAGGACCAGTTTCCATCATTTTTAACAATGGACAGGTTAAATTTAAGTTAGTTTCTCTACCTCAGTCATTGAACATTCAAATATGTAATAGGAGCCACACCATCAATTCTATCACAGTAGATACAGATGATGATGTTGCCCAGGCAGAACTTATACTAATCACAGGAAATTCAACTCTAAAATTGATCACTTTTATGTACAATTTTATAATCCATTTGCTTGTAATATAATTGTATATATTGGAAAAGAAACTGTGTAATAGTTTTCCTCATCCCATTCCTGCTACCATTCTTTAATAAATTCATTCCACAGAATTCCTTTCAGAACCTTTAGGGATATTTTGTGTGAAATGGGAAGAGTGTTATCCCTGGCTACATCCTTAGTGAGAGAATCAGTTCTCTTGTTGCCGATAATGTTTGTGTGCAACTGTATCCACTTAAATTAGTAGTTATTCATTCTGAGCAAGTATTGGGTAAAGGCTTCTCTTCTTAAAGGACAGTGCTTCTAAGGTGATTGTAAAGTTTTTGTTATTATAGATGCTTCCACTCCATTCAATTGTACGAAGAATTGCAAGGAGTTCTGCCTGAAAGATAGAGCAAAGAGAACTTAAATAGTTCCATTCTATTACAGTCCAGTCTTGTCGGGGGAGACGTTGCTCCAAATGGAGGTGACTGTAGATGGTGTCATTGGCAGCATACATAATGGTCTCTGTGCTAACAAATGTTCCTCTTCCAGGTGCCTCAAAATGGTACAGATAGACACAGGGGTCTGTAATGATGGCACCACTTGTGTTTGGATGACAGAGAATGATATGGTCAGCTAAATATATAGTTGTCAGAGGACCTGGGTGCTACATGTGTGAGTTATCTCTCATCCACTGGTCCCAACACCACCTTAGTGTTGTCAAAATGGCCTTGGTGGTGGGCTATTCAGCAAGATGACATCCAGCTTCTCTCAGCGTGATGATCCTTCCCCTCTCAAACTTGGTGACTTGTTCATATGGTCTTCAATTGCGACATAAAGACATCTCTAGTGATGTAGTGTCTCTCTGCAACAGGTAAATTACAGACAGGATGACTTTGCACACTTTTTTAAAGGCCAAGGGGAACACTTTAATGTCTTCTGTTGGCATTACAGAATGAGCCATCATGCAGTATCTCTAATCATTTCCATATCTGCTTGAGACTATCTGCATGCCAAGTTTTGCAGCAATACAACTTTCTTGGTATGCTATACTTATGGCAATGAGTGTATATTAATGTATTAGTGTGTAAATAATGCTTTTTATCCATGTCAACTTCCACAAATCAAATTCTATCATCCCATATGTTTGACATAATTTATAAACAGCCTTCCTATTGATCTGTTTTTTACCGTTCCACTATCTGTCATGGGAAAATTGAAAATTTTGAACTTTGTATTTTATGGCTTCACCAGCAAAAGTGATGGCAAAACACCATCATTTTTGTTGGTGAAGCCTATGGCCATTCTGTCAATGGTTTCTGTTGACCATTTTTTGCATGTGAGTACTAGGCTTAATTTCCTCTGTGCGGAGTGACTATAGAAATTACAATTAATTCCAAACCATGCATTTCCTTCTACTGCAATTGGAAATTTGTTACTTTACACTTGAAGATTTGAACAGTAACGAGAGAACAAATAATATGTTAAATGAAAAATAAAGCTGACAGAATTTCCCAGTGGACGTCTTCATTGTCATTCAATGGTGATTGGGAGGATGGAAACAGGAGATGCTTTCTAGTCTTTTTTGTTTATGCTTTTGTCTCACTTTGGTGCTTAACATTTTCAGGTACTTTATATAACTGATCTTATTGAATTCTGCCCAATTTCTTTCAGTTCGGGGTCATCACGCTGCTGCCACCAAGTATTACCTATCAGCGGCCATGGTCAGCAGTGACTACTTCAGCCAGCCCCTGCCACGGGCACTCTTCGATGATGCTCAGTACAAACATATGATCCACTGTTGTACCAAACTCCAGTGTCACACTCAGGTGAGTTAGCATTGTTGAATAGATTATTATTTTTTCCACAGTGACTGACTGCAAGAATTTCTTTCAGGCAGCTGTTCTCGGACAGTGTGTGGAAGATCCAGCCTATTCTGCTATTTTTAAATCTCTGGGAGAGAAGATCTGTAACGATAGCTGCGACACCTTTTATCCCTGCATTTGGGATGTGACTCTTCTGGAATATCTGATAAATCTTCATGCCCGTCGTGGGGAGGTTGACCGCAGACAGTTGGCCATACACCTGATAGGACAGTTGGAACTCAATTCCAATAATAATGAAGAAATTCAGCATGAAGCTGAAAATGTCAGGAGAGGAAAATTTTTTAGAGCCATGGCTTTACAGTATTTGTAACAGAAGGTGCTGTTTTCTGCCTTTTTATAATTATTAAAACATTTGAGTAAAGTGTTTAAATTCTATAGTACATGGTGTACTTGGTGAGAAAGTCAGAGGGATGAAAAATAAAAGGGATGTTGAATGATGGATGCATGGATGCAGTCCATACATTGTTGTCAAGGGAATAATCATCTGACCTGACAGATGGAATGGTTAAGCTGGTGATCGTATCATGTTTGGAAAAATTATAAATTTTGTTGGCAGTGAGTGGATGGGAAAGAATTTTTACTTCTGATCGTTCTCTGAGTTTTAGAACAAAGTTGGGATGTTTTCGAGTCAAACTGACAACAGAATAACCTTTGGCATCAGTTAAGAGAGAAATTAATAGGAGGTGCAGGATTTGTCAGTTCTGTTCCCAGAGTGGTTCTTTGCAAGCAAAAAATATTGACAATATCCAAATGCTTTGCAAAATGATGTACAAAAATGTATCTTATTCAAATATTTCCTCTATTTCATATTTCTCACCTCTGGAAATGATACAGTGGACCGAAGTTGAATGCCTTTCAGTTATTTCATCTGTTTTCACCGTTTAAGTTTGGGCAACTCCAAAGAGGTTTTTATAGCAGTAAGAATGTCCAACAACGACAATTTGGTCCGAAACAGTGAATTTTTGTAGTTCAGACAATATTTCTATGGTTTAATGGGTTGAAAGAAAAAGAATTCTTTGTAAAAAAAGGACTAACTTAACCCGCACCCCTTATTGCTCCTAAATTTGAGCAATTTTAATTTCCTTTTACACTTCTGGTCGTTTCCAATTGGCCAGATTTGTCACGACATGATGGAAAACCATTGCAAGCTTAGAATTCAGTTTCCACCGTTAAGACTGGTCACGTGGCAATGGAATCTGGCTGCTGTTTATGGGTGCTGAAAGGTTAGTTTTTCTAGTTTCCAGGTGGTGATCACTCAGAAAAGAGCAAACTTAATACAATAATCATTTGTTTTTATTTTTTACATTTATAACTTACAAATATTTTATCTAAACACCAATCGTATGCCGAAAATCTATCGGGCTAGTTTTAGGCTAATTACTAAATGAATTACGTAATCAATTTGGCTCTAGAGGTAGGCGTTAGGCGCCATCTCTTATTAATATTAATAATTATAAATAAATTAATTAATTTAAATAATTTAGAACCGCTGGGAGAAAAAAACCGTCGATGGTTATATACTGTAGTTAGCTTCTATATGCTGGAAGAGGAAATAGGACTGGAGGTCCTATAGGAAATAGGACTGGAAGATAGCGTAACTGGCAACGCATCTGAACGGTAAGCAGGGGTTGTGGGTTCGAGTCCCGCTCCGGGCCGATTTTTTCTCCCAGCGGTTCTAAATTATTTAAATTAATTAATTTATTTATAATTATTAATATTAATAAGAGATGGCGCCTAACGCTTACCTCTAGTGCCAAATTAATTACGTAATTTATTTAGTAATTAGCCTTAAAACTAGCCCGATGGATTTACGGCATATGTTTGGTGATTA